CTCGGTTATTTTCAATCTATTTTAAAAATGGTAAAGAGAAAATATGTTTCTTTTGGCCAGATCTACCACCCCTTAAAATATCTGCACTCATTTCTGGGACACCCTGTATTGCATGGGCATAATAGTGCTGGCTGACATTTCATGTGTTTGAAATTGTCTGGGTATATTATTGCTTTCTGACAGGATATTTACAATTAGTATTAGAATATTACAAACACAATGTGTTTGTAGATAATGCCTTTGATGTTTTTGATTATTTATTTGATTCTATAGAATAGTGGAGATTCGAGAAAGCAACAGGTTATCTCCAAGGAGAATCAGGATAAGGTCGAGCTGATTGGGCAGAGAACGTTGTAGCGTTTTTTAAACAACTACCACTGCGAACGGCAGCTTTTCATCGGAGAGCAGTCGTGGATAAGGTATTTCACTGGAAAGAAAACTAATTAAGAACAATAAACAAAAAAAGTAGATATTGGGCGCCAGGCATGTACAGGGTGGGTCAAATTCGACGCTTTTAAATGGAAACACCCTTTTCTATAGGAGATAGATGAAAAATAATATCGGTGTCTGGAGCTCAATTTTCATCAAAAATATGATGGTGAAAACCGCACAACAATATCTGTTACCGTTTCGGAGTTACGGATTGTTTTTCAAAAATGTGCATTTTTAACAAATCGCTGTAACTTTTTTGCTATGGAAAATGTTGTATTTCTATGAAAACATTTCCAAAGCACCTTTTTACGTAGAATTTAATGGTTTAAGTATAATTTTTTTTAAAATTAATAATTTAAGAGTTATTAACAGAAAAATTGATTTTTTATTTGGGACACCCTCTATGTTTTTAATTAACTGAAAAGAATTTAAAATTACCTTTCCAAAAATATAGCACACTTGATATTTTGTTATAATCCCCTCGAAATACAGAATTTTTAAAAGTTCGCCAGTTTTAACTAGTAGGCTTTGGACCCCTTATTGATGATATGCCCTTAATGGAACTCGAAAACATATTTTTCCAGCAAGACGACGCACCACCTCTGAACGCTGAAGTTATCAGCAAATTTTTGCAGCCAATTTCAAGAATAATTGAATAGCTCACCAAGATCCCAGCCGTTGGCCATCGAGGCCGCCTGACTTAGTGCCTATGGATCTAATCCTATGGATATATTTGCGGAAGAATAAAGGTTCTTTCTTCTTCCGTATAATCTAGACAAGAATTAGAAATACTTAGCAGTTATGAGTATCTTTCACTCCCACTGAGTTAATGAATTTCGCGAGAAATGTTCAAAAACTGCCCCGTCTGTCCATAACAGAAAACGGTTGATATGTCGAACACCTGTAGCAAAATCTCATGTCTTGGTTTGCTATTTATTTTTATTGTTATTAGATATAGTTTATATGTGTTGATGTTGGTTAAATATATTTTAAATTGTTACATAATTCTGCATCTCTAATAGCAAATATTATTTTCGTTTTAATTGATGCTCACAGCTAGAGTTTTTTTGCATTACAGCCGGTGCCGTTCAAAGCCTACTTATTTGGGGCGAATTTTTATATACTCTATAACTCGAAGAGGAATCGAGCAAAATATCAAGTGTGTTATATTTTTGGAAAGGTAATTTTAAATTCTTTTCAATAAATTAAAAATATACAGGGTATCCCATATAAAAAATCAAATTTTCTGTTGATAATTCTTAAATTATTAATTTTAAAAAAATTATACTTAAACCACTAAATTCTACGTAAAAAGTTGCTTTGGAAATGTTTTCATTAAAATACAAAATTTTCCATAGCAAAAAAGTTACAGTGATTTGTTAAAAATGCATATTTTTGAATAACACCCCGTAACTCCGAAACGGTAACAGATATCGATATGCGGTTTTCACCATCATGTTTTTGACAAAAATTGAGCTCCAGGCACCGATATTAGTTTTTGTCTATCTCCTATAGAAAAGGGTGTTTCCATTTAAAAGCGTCGAATTTGACCCACCCTGTACAGAGAAAGAAAACACAATTGTATATTACTTAAAACTAATGACTAATATTCATTCATGATGTTCGTTGCTGATACATGACATTGTAGAGTTCTAGTGAATATGTAGTGGTTATATGTCAAAGAAAGTGGTGGTAAGAGTTGTACTAAATATCTATGAAAACGACTATGATAAAATACAAGACATGTAAAGTTTAAGAGAATATATGAAATGTAGCATTACTTTAATTAATTTGATATATTTTATATGATGTTAGTGCAATAATAATATCTATAAAAAAGTAATACTATTACAAGACATAATGCAATGAAACCTAAGATCTAAATTATATTTTAACTACTAAATCGACATGAATGTTCTTAACAATCTAACCACTCAACATAGTCTATACGATATTATTTAAGATGTACGTTATTGTTTAAGACTGTAAATGTTTTGAATGTTAAATGCAAAACTATAACTTAAATCTACACTTAGCTGTTCTTTATGCAATCCTGCTTTAAACAGTAACAGCGTGAGGTGGTCTCGCATCTCTGTACTCAGCCATCCAACACAACCAAAGGGGCCAGAATGAGGACACCATGAATTTATACAGCCACAACTAACTAGCTTATAGCTGGGAACGAAGCAGCATGGGACTCAAGCTACATCCACGCTGTGGCACTTATATGTAAAGAAAAATCGTTCTTACTGGGGACACTCGTCCACAGGACATCCGTACATAAGATAATGTCCGTACATAAGAAATAGTCCGTACCTTGGACACAGTCCGTACCTTGGACCCTCGAAATACTTCCGAGGGCTCAATAAATAATAAACATGTCCTTTCTTCCATGTGACATTCTGGAGGACAAAAGAAAAGGGACGCCAACGTGTCAGCAAAACACAAATACAAGTTGGGACCTCCGTAACTCTACCCTGTTGCTTTGAAATAGCAGCTGATTCAGATTATACAGCAAGATTTAAATAATCACCATTTCTAAAAGCTGGGATAAAGCAGAGCGTCAAAACAAAGCGAGGTTAAGCACGGGGAGTTGACAGAAGCGATGTTGACAGCGCGCGTCTTCACAGAATAGTAACAGGGTTGTGTCGAACGATCACAGGGTTGGCGACTAGGGAACGTAAAAATTACGCGTCAAATAAACTATCCGGCCTGAACGAGAGGGAATCCGGTGATGATAGGCCAGACATCATATATTATATATAAAAAAGACATGTAACGAACTAAAAACGTTACAACGTCCCATTGTCAGGCTGGCCGTGTTAGCGGCACCCCTATGGCTATGCCATGACGCCCTCTGTGAAATGCAAGTCCAGGTGGTAATTCGATGCGCGTGTGTTAGTTAGTTAGTTAGAGAGAACACTGCGATCTAATAACCTCGGGCCTTGTAAATCTTTATAAGAATAATCCTTTAATAAAGAGATTAGTTCTGTTTATTACTTTAATTTCTAAAAGTGAGACAAAATTAATATGGAACATTGGTCACATTTAAAAGCAAGTTACTCATTTATTTTAAATGGAACACCCAGTATATTATTCCGGTGTTCAATGGGAAATTCATATATCTTCAAAATATATTAAGATTGCCTACCCTTCAGACAAATATTTTCCTAGATATTTTAACTTTTATGATTTTGCGTCAGTAGATCTTTATTATTTGAAAAATATAGGTAGCTGTGATATGTCTTTTGTTAATTGAACAAAGAGAGTACAAAGTAGAGTAAAATACTCAACGGTAATAAAAGGATACACGTTTAAAACATATTTTAATTGTTACAGAATTAAAACTAGATATAAACCTATAATTGTATGACAAAAATTATCTAGATGAAATCAAATGCTCAAAATGCTTCCTTTCCTGTTAACTGCATAAAATCATTGTCTTTTCAAAAGATCTTTTCATTTTAAAAGGCATATGTGGAGTTCTATTTCGAAAAGCAGCTACAATCATTTCTCTCATGTTGTCGACAATAGTTGGTCGAATTTTGTAAACACTGTCTTTAACATATCCCCATAAAAAAGCTCAGACTAGATAAAATCAGGAGCAATTAAGTATTCTATTAGTTCGTGAATACACACTGCATTCATCAACTATACAGGGTGTCCCAGAAATGAGTGCAGATATTTTAACTGGTGGTATAGTTCAACCCCAGAAACACGCCTATGAGGTTTTTTTTGCGAAAAAAAAATGTTGAAAATTTTATATTTTTCTTGACATTTTCCGGAAAATGTTGGAAAACTTTTGAGTGCCACTGTTCATTCCCCGGGAAATTCGTTTACCGGGCATAAAGAGTTTCGGAGAGAATGCAACGTTGCCACCTCCTACCATACCCACATTCTGCATGTTTATCTATAAATTCAATTATTTTAAGTTGCTACAGAAAAAAATACGAATATTAATTTTATTCATATTAGTGTAAGTAGTATATCTGGCGGGGTTCTGGGCAGATTTGACCTTTTTTTGATATCCAGTTTGACCTTTGCTAAAAATAGTGATAGGATGATGTATTTGAAGCGGCGCACTACTGCGCGTGTCTTAACTTGTTGCGCGAATAGGTGACGTAATTTTTCTTTTTGACCTTTTTTGATAGAGTTTGACCTTTACTAAAAATAGTGATAGGATGATGGATTTGAAGCGGCGGACTACTGCGCGTGTCTTAACTTGTTGTACGAATAGGTGACGTAATTTTTCTTAATAGTTTTAATAAGTTGACAGTGACGTAATTTACGTGTGGCTGTTGATGAGGTGTTAAAAAAATGGTGATATGTAAATATTAGGTTAAATAAAGAAAAATTGTGACATTAATATTTGTTTGTTTGTTAATGAGAAAGAGAGAGAGAGAGATAGATGAGCGTGGCGTAACTTAGGCCCAGCGTGGTGCCGTGCGGATCAATACGGAATAAGTGATATTTATGGGTAGATAGGTAGGTTTAAATAAAACTCATTGTTTATTGAAAAGACCACATCTATTTTTTTTTTCTTTTTAGGTTACAATTATATTTCTTAAGAGTGAAGCAAAACACAAAAATACATATCTTAAAATACAGAAATTATTCAGTAGGTAGATAGGTAGGTAGCTAGGTAGGTAGGTAGGTAGGTAGGTAGGTAGGTAGGTAGGTTCAAATAAAACTAATTGTTTAGTGAAAAGGCCACTTCTGTTTTCCTTTCTAAGATACAGATATATTTCTTAAGAGGAAATCAAACAAAAAAAACAGATTCCTATAACTATATGAAAACAATATAAAATTATCTTACATACATTTACATTTTAGAAGAAAATTCAACTTTCAGGCATACTTTCCCTACAGTATAAATCGTTTTTTACAAATTGTGAATATAAAACATCAACAAAATTGTGTTTACTTATCGATCTAGAGCAAAAACAAAAATAATGTTTACATGTGTTACAATATCTTGTGCCTCCACAATTAACATACTGGGAAGAATTCTGAAATTTAAAAAAATGTTTCAGGTTTTAATGTCAGTGTGAAGGTAATTTACAGTCCTTTTGTCATCTGATGGATTTAAAGATACTTTTTTTTCTGATAGATAGTGTAAACTTCATGTTTAATTGCAAAAACAAAAATAATGTTTACATGTGTTACAATATCTTATGCCTCCGCAATTAATATATTGAAGAGAATTCTGAAATTTAAAAAATGTTTCAGGTTTTAGTAATTAATACTATAGCCCCATGGTTTAGTGTCAGTGTAAAGGTAATTTACAATCCTTTTATCATCTGATGGATTTAAAGCTACTTTTTTCTGATCGATAGTGTACACTTCATGTTTAATTGATTTAATTAATTTTTGAGAGCACTCAGTAACTTGATTATTAAATAAACATTGATAGTAGTCATCAAATGTGATTGTATTTAAAGCGCTGGACTTTATTCCCTTTGCTTTTTTGTGTTCTTTTAAACTATTATTATTTCCAATAATTTTATATGTATACATTTTGGAACGTAATCCAATAAATTCTGACATTATTTTTCCGTTGTTTTCGTCCTTCATCAAACCAATTACTTTTTTATTTTTCAGAGGTATACCAAAAATATTATTTTCATCATAATCAGAAGTATCAAATTTATGTATATCTTCTTTTATATGAATATAGATATTATCAACAAAAAAATGATAAATCAAGGAATCCGTATCAGTATATAACAATTTTGCACAATCCCCAAATTTTTTTTTAATATAATTGTAGTGAAAATCATACACTATTGTTTTTGATATGTCAAGAATTGAAAAACCTGCATAAATGGGTTTGTTAAAAGTTATATTTAATTTTGACATTTCAATTAGAACCATGTTATCATCAAAAATTGTGAGACTATGAAAATTTGGTTTTGATATATAATAATTTGCACCATAACGACCTGACCACCTCGTAACTAATTTAACATCTTTGTATTTACGCACATTTTCCATGGCCTTACCAAAATTTGCATTGTTTATTAACTTATAAAAATTTTTATCGTGTTCATTTTTACTTTGTTTTCGCAATTCGGTATTTAAATCAATAAATTTTTTATAGTAAGCTGATTGTTTAAATTTAAGAGTTCGGTGAATTCTTGTAAGTTTCAAACCGAGTTGAAGAGCTTGTTTTAGATTTCTGTAATGAATAATATATTTTTCTTTATCATTTAATGTAGTAAGCAGCTTAGGTACTTTAGATTTCGAAATAGGTGGCACGCAACGTTCAGCGCATAGAGGTAAGTCTTTATGCAATTCATATAGTTCACTGGGATATGTAAGATTTACTTCAAAAATATAACCAAAAGGACAGTCATCTGAAATGTCTAAAATATTTATACTCTCTTGGTAGAAATCATCAACCCATTGAAATTCCGCAATTGGTAATGACATAGACATTGCTGCTCCATAAAGATTGTTTACATCGTAATACATTAAATATGAAATTGGTTCGTTAAAATTATATTCTTGCCCCATAAACTGATTATTTGCTTTTCCATATCTGTTCGAACATTGTGAAATTCCCCCTCGTATACCTCGTTCAATAAACATAACATATCAGGATCTGTTAGTAATTCTAGTTCAGTGTTTGTCATTTTTAAAAAGGCATCGAAGGCTAATGATGGTGTTGTAACATAATGTAAACAATCAAGTTTGTAGGTTGATAAACAAGTTGAACGAAAATTTTCAAATATATCTGCTAGTAAAAGAACATCGGTTTTTAAATACAATTCCATGTATTCTTTTAAATTGTGAATTTGGAAAGTATTCCAAATATTGATTGCGTGATTATAATCATCATCAGAAATATTTTGATTATTCAAAGAACTATAAAATTTTTCTTTTTCGGGTAAATGTTCGTCTTCAAGTTTTTTCCAGGTATCTAAATATTCGTAAGGAAATACTCCTTTTCGAGTTAATAAATGAAATTCAGAATTATTTGAATAAAAACTTTTGGTAATACTTTTTTGATCATCGGATACATAAAACGAAACGAATCAATAAATCTAAAAGATATATTTGTATTTTCTATATATTTGGTAAATGAAATGTATCGTTCTTTGTTAACGGGTAATAAAGTAATTTTTCCTTTTATCTCAGTACTTAAATCTTTAATAAAAAAATGGCTATCATAACCTGATAAATTATGAAAAACTACAGGTATGTGATGATTATCAGTGAACATTAGGTTACAGTGTTCATGACTTGGTCCCCTGAAACTTGAAGTTAAATGATTGTGGTCTTTTACACGTTTTTCTCCCTTTAAAAATGGTTTTTCACACACATGACAGTGATTTGCAGTTTGAAAATATTTTAATTCTTCAGCAGTTAATTTTTTCATAGGTAAAGGATTGGCAAATATTTCAGAAATTTCATCGGAGATTTGTTTAAGTTGATTAATAAACCATTTAATACAATCTGAACCAGTGTAAGAGTTAAATCTTGACAACTGATTGTTATAAGAACATTTGAGGTAATACGCTATGCTACATGGAATATGTTTCTGAATTTTTTTTGTTTTTAATGCAGTGCTATTTGAAACATTTTCTAAGAATACATTCCAGGTCACTGTAAATTACGAACGGTATTTGTTCTTTATTTTTAAAATTTTTAAACTTTAAAATCTTTTCATTCTCTTTAGGCATTAATATTTAAGTTGTGTTTAAATTTTTGCAATCTACAGAATGTTTTAGTAAATTATCTTTTGATTTAAAATGATTCAAGCAACGGTCGCATAACCAGGATTTATTTTTTACGTTACCAATTTGAGAATTCACTAATCTAGATAAATTTTTTATGTATGCAAAGTGAAAATTCCTGCTATTTAAGATATTTTGACTTTTATTTAAATGTAACTCATCATCATCGTTTTCTGAGTCATCATCATCACTATTATAGTTAATACAAGGAATAATAAGTAAGTTAATTTTCAGTTCAAAGTCTGTTTTTGTTAAGCTTACAGGAAAAATTTCTTTCTTTTCAAAAGTGTACACGTTAATTGAAATTGAGTTCATTTTTTCAAACTTTGAAATATCTTTTAAACCTATGGGAAAAGTAATATCGTAATAATGTAGGCCTTGTACTTGTGTAAAATGTGGATATGAACTGGTAGCACTAGAGTTTTTATGAGAAGGAGCAGGATATAAAGCACACACTATTGACCATAGAAAGCAATATTCATCATTATTTTTTATATTAATAACCGCTTTTGTTTTCTTAATAAAATTAGGTAAATCCACATAAGTCGATGAACTAACACTAATGGGGTTAAACTGATTTATATTAATTTTAAGGTGAATAATTTGAAATAAGGCCCACCCGCTATCCCTTTCTTGAAAATTTTCCAATTTAGCTAAAATTTTCTCTTCAATATTTTTCTTATACCAATATTTTAAATTTGTTGTGTTGTCAATAATTTCATTCTTTGTTAAAAATGTTTTAACATCTGTTTCAGCAGTGTGTGGCTTTACAAAATTAGCAGAAAAAATTGCATTTACTTTAAGTAAAGATTGCTTTAATTCTTTTTTTATTTTTAAGGAAAAACTTTTAAATGCTCTTTTTAAAAAAAATTTAGGATCTTTGATATTAATGTTAGTAACCCGTCTTAATTCTTCCATTAAAACAAGATTCCACATCTTGCCAAAGTAGATTTTTTATGATATTATGTTGTGATCTACCAAATTTAATTCGCTTAGAATTCTTTAAATTGAAATGATAATGTTTGAGTAATGCAAGTCCTGCTTCGGCACAAGAAAAATTTTGAATACATTTTGATTTTGTTTTTATACATTTTTAATCGTAAAAAATATTTTTTCTTAATAAACTAATCCACTTATTGTGTTCTTCTTTAGTCTTAATTATCCTACTAGCCTTTTCAAAAGTTTTAATTATTTCCTGTACTAATTTATCTATTTTTTTGTTACTATTAGTATCTAAAACCTAATGTTAAATAGAAATTAATTACTAATGGTTCTTTATATTTCTGCTTACATTTAAAGAGCTCTGATAATTTCTACCACTGGTACTGGGTTGTGGAATGCCGCTACTGCTGCTATCACGGCTGGTACCAGGTTTTAAATTAGTACCATGACCGTAATGGTCATCTGGATGGGTACGTTTATTTCCAAACATTTTTGACATTGTACAGAATTCTAAAAAATCAAAATAAATTTTCACTCAAGTCAACTGTTTCTTTAATAAAAAAAAATTACAAACTTACCAAAGGAAAATAAACAGTTTCTGCTGCTGCTTTTGCGAAGATTTACTTGTTTTAGCTGTTGTAACAATAAGTATGCTTGAAGTGTGTGAAGAAAGTGCTGTTGGAAAACTAATATTGAATAATAATAACTCAAATCAGTTTAAAAATAAATCAAATAGGGTTCTTTTGCAACCTAAAATTGTTGTTCAAATTGTAATGCAAATTAATTTATTTTACATAATTCGTTACTATAACCCCCTAATTTGTTATCACTTATACATGCACAAACAACAATGATAAGTAATTTTTATAACTTGAAGCATTTTTAAAATGTAATCTAATTTTCTGTTTTCGTGACATTTAACCTTCTTGTATTTTTATAGACTAATTGGCATTCTGTGCTTCTTTATAGGGGAATATGGAGTAAATATTATATAGCGTATTAACCATTAAATGTTATGTGTTTGTTTGAAATAAAATTGGTGAATTTTGCTAATTTAACCCTAGTTTCCACTAATATCTAGTTTCTTTTTATATAGTGGAAAAGGGTTTGGGAAACCCTTATTTTAATAGAAAAATTAAAAAAAATATATTTAGTTCAAGTATCTAATGGTGCAAATAATACTAAAATACAATATTTTGTTAAATCCTAACTCTACGTATGAAGAAAAACACAATTTATTGGTTTTGCGTAGTGGAAAAGGGCAATAGAAACCCTTATTTTAATAGAAAAATTAAAAATAATTTAATTCCACTACCTATTAGTACAAATAACACTAAAATGCAATGCGTTGTTAAATCCTAATTCTACATATGAAGAAAAACGCAATTTATTGGTTTTATATATTAAAAAAAGCTACTGGAGACCCTTATTTTATTAGAAAAATTAAAAAATAATGTAATTCCAGTATCTATTAGTACAATTAACAATAAAATGTAATGCTTTGTTAAATCTAAACTCTACATATGAAGAAAAACACAATTTATTAGTGTGTAACGTCACTTGCTGATTAGGTTAATTTTTATCTTTTAAAACATGTATAAATAGCAAGCAAAATTAAACGCTTGCATTCACACAGTTACTTCTAATAGTTCTAATAGTTCAACAGTGACTTGAAAAAATGGCTAACGTTCCATCCACTATCATAATTAAATCCTTAGATAAATCAAATTTTCCACTAGATATGGGTTTAGTGGTAATGAGAGAAATGTTCACGTAAGTTTTTTATCCAGTGTGTTTTTTACAACAATAATCATTTTGACTTCTCCTTTCTTGTTTAATGAGTATTTTTATTTTTCATTTCAGTTTTGGTGTGAAGGATATATCAATTAAAGGGGATAAAATATTTATATGCCTGACGTATACTCCACGACATCAAAATTTAAAAAAGAAATTTGGAGACTTGCCTCTACAGTATATTAGAACAAGAATGTTTGAAAAGGAAAAAGATTTGAAACTATTTGAAACGGCGCTGAAAAGATTTAATTTTAAAATTCGTTTGGACGAGGAGGAAGAGGAGGAATCCCAACAACAACAACAAATAGAGAGTGGTCCGAGCAGGAAAAAGGTGAAAGTTTCACAACCAGAATCATCAACGTCTAGGATTAGTCTGGATTCTGAAGAAGGGGAAGATGTTGTAAACACCCAAAGGACACATAAAAAATCTCTAAGTGTCTTAGTTGAGGATGATGATGATATATTCAGCCAGCAATTTTAACGGTATTATATTATTTTAAATTTGAGCTCTATTATATTATTTAAAACTTTAATTTTTTTATTTTAATATTATCAATATACTAAATACAAGACTGTGTAATCACACTTGTGCTTATAGTAATTTATATTTTTTAATTTTAATTATCAATATCCTATATGTAATACTGTATAATCACGTACTAAAAATAATTTCGCATAAGTTTTTTGTTAGTGCTCGAGACATCATTACAACTTGAAACATGCACTCGAGCAGACAAAACTGTGTAACACCTACATATGTAGGTAATAATATGTGGACACCACCCAAACTAACTGAACTAAGTGCAAATGTAATAAGTTACCATGTAAAAAAGGAAGAGGATATTAAAAAACTAAATGTACCTCTACCTTGTCAAACATTAATTAGTACACAGTATTACAAAAATGGATTTTAAATAGATTTATTTTCATATAGTGAATTATATAATATATATGCAATGTATAGGTATCTATGTATAAAATAAAGCAAAAGTTTATTGTACAATAATAGTCTTTTATTTTATAGTTAAAATATTACAATATATTGGTTTTATCTATCCAACTATTATGTTTATCACTAAAACCTAACCAACGAACAAGTACTTTATTTTTACTACGTTTTAAAATTTTTTCAACCAAGTAGGCATCAGGAAATTTAACTTTTTGTAATTGCTGTTCATAAAATCCACCTTTAATTTCTTGCTTGTCAACATCTTCTAATATGTAGGTGGCAGGATTTGTGAGTTGTACCTTTTTATATATAATAAAAATTTCAGTAGACCAATTAGCCATGTATTTTTTATCAAAAACACTTCGAGTTTTAGAAATTCTAACGTGTTCTCCAATTTTAAATTTAGGCTTTGATGCTAATTTTATATGACTATAAGCTGTTTTAAGCAAATATTTTTCATTTTTTTCACTTACTTCAGAAGGTTTCATACCAATTGTTCTATGTTTTTTATTATTATAAGTAATTATTACTTGTGGTAATAGGGTATACCATTTATAAGTTCCATTTAAATTTAATTGTTTCCAAATCATGCTTTTAAGTGTTCTTATTACACGTTCAACTATGGAAGCCTTTTTTTCACTGTAAGTGTAGTAATGTCTTACATTATACTTTTTAAAAAGTGTTTGACAAGGTTTTGATAAAAATTCTGTTCCTTGGTCTGTTTGTAAAAGTTTAGGAGAATGCTCCTTAAAAACCTTTCCCATGGCTACTGCTACTTCCTGTCCAGTTTTTGTTTTCAAGGGATAAGCCCAAACGTATTTCGAAAAACAATCAATTACAACTAAAATATATTTAAAACCATTATTGTCTTTTGCGTAAGGTCCTAATTCACAAAGATCGGCTTGGTACAATTCATAATGGCCCTTTATTATAACACGACGTCTTTTAAAATTAATCCTTGCAGGTCGATGTATTTCCTGTACAATTTGTTCTTTAATTTTACTAACAGGCTTTTTTGCTGATGTCATAACTAAAATTACACAGGTTTTATTCAATAATATTTGCTTCTCGGAGCTCTTCAATAATTGAACTAATTTCGTTAGTATGACTAGTATTTCCAGCACTTTCTGATGCTATCAAAAGCCTCAATCTTTCTACTAACTCGTTAGGATTATCCCAGTGCACGTATTCGATTGGATTATTGGAATATTGCATAAATAATTTTTTCGGTGTGTATTTATCAACACCTTTACCTGATATGTGATGTATTGCTGGTGCAATAACTGTTTTATACTTCTTTAAAGTACTTCCTTGTATCTGTTCTGTTCCTTTATAATATCGTCTATGGGCGTTCGTTTTTAAGACTATTTCCGTGTAGTTTTTTTCATCTTGAATGGTATAATTCGTAGGCTTTTTTTTAAACAATAACTCATACAAACCAACTGTACCTTTATAACGTTTTCCTTGAACTATAACATCTGAATCGATTATTTTCATTTGCGAATCCCCAATATAAAATTTATCAGATATTTCATTAAAAACCACCCCATACTTATGATCAAATTCCTTATTTTTATCTTTAATCATTTCCTTAATATACTTTCTTGGTAAAGCATCGTATTGGTCTAAATAGTCTTGAAAAGAAGCTTCATTGATATCTTCATTTCTTGTTCGTTCAAAATTTCTCTGTAAAGTCGTTTCCAATTCTTTTTCTTGATCATCAACATCGTTAATTATTGATTGTTTAATAGCACTGGGTTCGTCATGATCATCATCATCATCATCGTTTACACTTTGCATAAAAGATTTTGGTGTAGATTGAAATTGTAAGCGTCTTCTACGTCCTTTTTTACTGTACGATGGTAACGGGGTTATTAGATTAACATTTTCATTATCATGAAAATTGGGATAAGATTTATCAATGTTCTTAGAAATTGGTATTTCTTCAGGTGCATTTAACAATTTTGATGTATTATCTTCAGATGGCGTCAATTTGGTTTCAATAGTTTTTAAATGTTTAGTTATTGGTAAAAAAATATCTTCATGTGCTAATTCACCTTGTTTTAATATATCTAGTTTCTGTTTAACAATTTTTCGTTTTTCTATTAGTTTCCTTTTAATTTCTTTTTCACTAGTATCCATATTTTGTATCTGTCTTAGATGTACAATTAGGAATGACTAACTTTTAATGAGATGTTGGTATATATATATTATAGGCTACGAATACCGGTTTTTGTAACAGTTACTCTATCTTGAAAGTAGGAAAGTTAGGAATAACATATTTTTACAAATATATATACTTATCAAAACAACAACGATACCGTCCTTCGTTTATTTTATTATCCTTAAAAACTGATAAAAAATTGTATGGTTTTTGCCAACACATACCGCATAAGGTTTTAAAATTATCGAATGTCATATCTGTACCAACATGATCGTTGTATACATGTTTTAAATTAGTATCATCTTGTTTAAATAAAATTAAAGCATTCGCATTATCTCTTATTAGATGCTTAGGAATTTTTGCATATGTCTGAGAGAGATAAAAACAATCCACATGATTGTGACGTCCCATACTAAAGTATTCACGAATTACATCTTGTTTATCGCAGGCTACATCATCAAAAATAAAAATTGAATGATGTTTCGCTTTTGAGGGTGGTAAAATTTGTTCACTATTATTAAAAGCAAAATAACCAATTTCCTTAATAGGTTTTAATAATTTTTCTAAATATAAGTATTTAGGTTGGTATAAAGATTTTGAATATAGATAAACATTTTTAAATTTTAAGCCATTTGGATGTTCTATTAAGGTAAGCATAACGTTAGTTTTTCCACAATTTGAAGGTCCAACAATAATACATCGAATTGATGAAGGTAAAAGTAGGCTATGTTTTCGAATCAAATTTTTTTCAACATCATGATTATTAACCGGTAGGGTAGTACGTTGCTGAACTATTTTCATATCACTTTCTTAATCTGATTGCTATCAAAGTCAAAATAAAACTATTTATTAAACTACAGTTTATACTATTTTATATTAGAGACATTAAAGTTATTTAATAGAAATAGAACATGTCAAACAAAAAATATTTATTAATATACAGTTCATAACAATCTGACATAGTTTCTTTTTAGCATTCTCAGAGTAAAGATGAAAATTTATCCTGATGCTAGTACGTCGATCATTGAAGGAGAAGGTCTCCTAAATGCAGCTATTAATAAATTACCTGTTGAACTGCATATACCTGGATATAATTATTGTGGTCCGGGTACTAAACTAGAAAGGCGTCTAGCTAGAGGTGATCAAGGTATCAATGAATTGGATGAAGCATGTAAAGAACATGACATTGCTTATGCAACTTATAAGGATCTTAATGTTAGACATGAAGCAGATAAAACATTATCAAAAAAAGCTATGGAAAGATTTAGATCAAAAACTACTTCATTTGGTGAAAAAATGGCTGCCTTAGGGGTTGCTGGAGCAATGAAAACAAAAGTTAGGTTAGGAATGGGCATTAACGGAAATAATAATCAAAGGAACGCTAATAGCATTAGGGCTAGAAAATGCAGTTTGGCACTGAAAAAAGGTATACAATTGATAAAAAACGCGCTCATAGATATGGAAACAGGGTTAGAAGCCGCAAATGATGTAGAAGGGCTCAAAAATAAAAAAAGAAATATGATTAAATCTACGAAACAGCAGCGACAGTGTCAACAGTCTCAACAAAAAGGAAATATTCTAAATGAAGCTGAAAAGGAAATTATGGAAAAAATTGAAGAGCGTAAAAAACTAAAAGCCATCAAATCTCGTAAACGAAAGTTAACAGTTGAAAGAGATAATAAGGATTTATCAGAAAATTTGAAGTTGTCATCGTTAAAAAGAAAACGATCAGACAGTGAATCTGATGAGGATAGCAGTTTAAGAAAAAAATCTAATATTTCAACTTACGGTGAAAATATTCAAAAACAAGGTATAAAAAGTGCATTAGACTTATCTGATGATTATCCAACAGAAGTTTCACTATTATCAAAAAAACAAAGACTATTAACTTAAGTAATTATATAGAGAGTGTATTAATAAGTTTTTAATTAGTTTAAGAAGTACCTTTCAAGTGATAAGTTCTATATATACATTATGACAACTAGAACCAAAAAGAGATCAAGTAAACGTAAGTGTCATAGTAATGGTAGTAAAAGGCAATGTAATAGTGTTAAAAAAAGTAGGAGAAGAAAAATCGTAAAAAAAGTTAGTTTTAAGGAGGCTACTAAACAGATAAAGAACAACATAATAAATGAAAAGCCGCAGGATTTCACAAGTGCTTTGAAAATTGCATTGAAAAAAGCAAGTAACTTTAAAAATAAAATTAGACCAGCTAGAATTATCAACATACCAAAACAAGGTGGTTTTTACCACCTTGTTTTGGTATGTTGATAATTCAAATCACAAAATTTTTTAAGGTGGCTAGTGCTATTGCGAAGGCAGTAAACGATGCAAAGGCTGCAACCGAACAATTAAAAGAAGCACAACGCCACAATCAGTCAATGGAAGCAATAGCTCTAGGCAAGGGAGTATGTTTAAAACCTCACAAAAAAGGATTAGGTCTTTTTTTACGACCTCCAGAATCGCAAAAAAAATACCAGTAAAACTTCCATCTCGAGCATTAACTAATATCGATCTCGAAAAATATGTGAATATGTTAAAAATTAAAAATTTCAGAGGAATTTTTATGAAAGATGCATTACCTAAAAAAATACATGTCCATGAATGTGGTATTGTCAACATGGACAACAGCAATGGTCCAGGAACTCATTGGACAGCATATAAGAAACATGGCTGTCACATTACTTATTTTGATAGTTTTGGAAACCTCTCACCTCCAAGGCAATTAGTTAAATATTTCAATTCTAATGGTTCTTGTAAAATATTGTATAATCACAACTCTTATCAATCTTATAATTCTGTAAATTGTGGACACTTATGTTTAGCTTTTATATATAAATTAATAAAAAATAAATGAAAATATTATTTATTGTTTGATTATTGTACCGTTAACATGTCATACACCTTTACTTTATCTAATAGAAGTGCTTTTCTATCTGCTAAAATTTACCCACCTATTATTTTAAAAGAAAATGAAGACTACGCACTAGGTTTAATTAATTTTGAGAGTTATAATTCCATACCAAATATTGATCAGTCAAATAATAAATTCCATTTCAATGATACATCAGTGATTACAATTCCTGAGGGTTCGTACGAAATCAAAGATATTGAGAATTACCTTA